AGTGACAAAGTAACTCAGGCTTATTAGTATCTTAAATTTGCTTCTGAAATGGTGTTAAGAATAGTGACACTCTCGCTTGCATTGCAGTTCATGTTGTGGTTATTTCAATTTTTAAATGATAAATTAGTCATGGCAAACATTTATTTTGTATAATTTGTCTTGTTGGGCATATATTTAAACATAAAGCTTTTTTTTTTTTTTTTTGAGTAAAATCTCTAGTGGAGTGTTGAATCATCCCAAGCACTGTTTCAGGACTATTTAACAGTATATGTAAACATGCAAAGTGACAGAACATTTTATCATTGAAAGTCAAATCACTTGTCATGAATCTTCTCCTCTAAGTTTGCAAATACATTTCAGTGAGGTGTGGAAAAACCTCAAAACCCCACAACCTTGTGTAATGTCTTAACATCTTAAGTGAAGCAGGTCTAATAATTTTTAAAAGGGATAGTAATTTAACACCTCCTAGCAATATGTATTAGAAAATGAAATTGTATTTTTCTTGCCATAACTGAAACACTAGAACAAGACGTGTGTAAAACAACTGAACATAGGCTGTATTATAATCAAATTCTTTTAATGTAAACCTTGTAAAATAAATATTTATCAACTCATAGTCCTAAATTACAGTTCTTTTCCACAGGCAACATGAAAGGCATTTCTCAGAAATCTGAGAAACAAAAATGACATTGTTTTATCTACTAATGGCAGCTTGACTATGTTGTCTTTAACATTGTTGATTTTAAAATGTTAGGTAATGCAGACCAAACTAAAGGTTTTCAGCCCACATAAATTTTAGAATATATCTAGGATATTAGCTCAATTAAACAAGAATTGTAGCTTTCATAGATCAGTTCTGAATATGCTCATGGATTACTTTTCCTCTTAAATAGTTTGTTTTTTAAACTCTGATTATTTTTTTTAATTGCAATGCTCTGAAATGTTAATGCTTACAAAGTAGAAACAACTTTATCAGAATTACTGGGAAATGGAAGTCCCACCCAATGAGTATTTTTTTCCAATGCGGACAAGCGCAGTTGATGAGATAATTTTGTGGTATTTGATCGAGAGAACTGGATTGCAAAACTGGTTTTGGTGACCAACACTGAGCTTCTAAAATGCTCACAGGAATTCCTCAGCTTACCTTCTGAACAGCCTACTGCTCACAGTTCCTTTGGGAAGGAAGGAGTAGTGTCCTGTCCTGGCCTTTATATTTTCATTCTAAGGAAAGAAGGCATCTTCAGAATTATCCTCCCAGCCTGCTGAGCCTTGTTTATCCAAAGGGCCTCACCTGTCCTTCGGCTTGTTGCTCTGGGACAGGACTCACTCTTCAAACCCCTATCTTGCTTCATCTGTAACACCAAAGGAATGGGAGGAGTTGTGTGTCAGTAACCAGGTCTGCAGTCGTCTTTGTGAGTGAGTTGACTACCTGGAACAAGTACAGACCTAGGCATCCTTCTCAATCTCAGAATTGTTGCAGTAGAAAGCCAGAAATGGAAAAGAGTAGAAAGTTAGAGAGTAAGGAATAAATATATTAATACAGTGTTTTTTCTTTATTGTGTCTATGCTTTATTTTTCCCTAAGACACTTAAAAATCTAAGGATTACAAAAACACAGAACAAACCAGACCCTGAAACTAAATATTTGTAAATAAAGTTTGCTGTTAGGAAATCTTGTTTTCTAACAGGTAAAACAATAGATGCTCTGTGCAACAAGTGATTTGATGTCAGTTGAAGTTATAAGTTTTCCATCTTCTAAAAAGAAGCAGAGACATAAATTGTGGATGTCTGTATTTCTGACTTCATGAGTCCATGTCTATTAGAACTTCTGCTCTATTCTTGCTTTTCTTTGGTAGTAATTTAAAACAGACAACATACACAGAATATCCTTAAGTCAGCGTGACTTAATTTTGTGTGGTAGTGGTTTGCTTTTTGTTGTAGTAGAATAATTGCTACTTCAAAAGCAGAATTTTTAATCAGCTTTTGGGAACAATTGTTTGTGTATCAGCATATAAGTAATTGTTAGTTCTAGTAAGTGACTCAAATTGAATATTAGTCACAGATATAAGGAATGGGTTTTGTTCCATGATTTAGGTCACTAATATTGCTTGGGAGATTGTGAACTGCTTGTTGGACAGTGAATTTTGTTTTTAAGGTAGTTTTGAATTTAAAGTAGGAGTTCAGAAAATACAGAATGTGTAATTGTAAATTTAATGTGTCCAAGATATTTTAAAAAACCTAGACTGGTGCATTCCTCACATTTTAACTCCCATTTTTACCTTAATGAAGATTTCCATAAGCCCTAATACAAGAGGTTAAAGTAGTCTCATTTCAGTTTGTTGGCTGTTTTAACTTCAAAAAGAATAGCTCAAAAGGATTTTATTTCTTCAGGTAATACTGAAAATTCATTCTATGTTCATAACAAGTTGGGAAAGTAAAAATGCATCCAGGAGACTTCCTGACTCAAGGGAAGGGAGGAAAAGGAAATTATGTATATGAGCTGGGGAACTGTGCCAACACTGAGTCATCCTTTTAAAATCACTTGATATCCAATAAGCTTATTGTCCTTACAGGACATAACTGCTTTATGTGAATTCAGCACAAAGGTTCAATATCATAGTCAATATTTCAGAAATGGTTTGTTTGATTATAGGGATCAATGTTATTATGCCTGTGGCAGACAAAAAAGTATTTTGCCAAATACAACAGTGTCCAGCAGAATTCTTATCAGTAAAGTGAAGGATAACAAAGTAGTAAAAGGAAACCTGTAGCTGTGCTTGGAGCAGTACTAAGTAACTTGCTGGGGGATACTTTTTTCTTTTCTCAACCTTATCTTTGCTTGTACTGAATGTACATGTGCCTCAAGAACATGCTGTTGTCTCGAGGAAACAAAACATTCCTGAAGAAGAGATTGAGGGGGGTGAAAACAAAGCTGCTACTTCCGTAATGAAAATGGAAAAATCTGTGTAGCTGCATACCCAGTACAGGCAAATGAAAAATGATAAAAGCAGTATCTTTGCTGCTGTTCAGCTTTCAAGTGAAACATAAGATTGCAGTTAGCTCTTTCTTCATTGGATTTGCTTTTTATGAAAATTGCATTGTCAACAGCATAAACTGATTTTAGGGCTGTGATCTTGAAAGTTGGATAATGTTTGAGGAGGGGATACTCACCAATATGGGCAATGTAGTTCTGACTTAGTTGTTGTGGTTAATGTTATCAGAAAGATATTTTTTTTGTCTTATTCTGATTCCTGACTGTATAGAAGTTGAAATTCCAGAATTGTGACTTTTCCTAATGGTGTTTCTGACTGTTTCTCATGTGTAAATTATCCCTATACAAAATAAATATTTTAATACGTGATTTTAAACAGAAAATATTCATTAAACAGTGCCCTGAAGAGTTTCTGATGGGACCCCACCAGCATTTTTTAATGTATTAATAGTGTTCGTTCAGGAATATTAGAAACACCAATATTGGCACAGTTAAATGCTAAATTGTGTATTAAGAACAAAGAATATTGCACAGTTTGGGGGAGTCACTTGACTTTGAGAGGCAGCAGCTCTGAAAGGACTAGCAGTACTGCTGAACAGTCTTGTGGTTGGTGACTTAGCTGCAGTCACTGCAGGTCGAGGCAGGAAAGCTGTGGCTAAGGACTATGGGGTACTCTATATGCAGCATCAAATCAGTGATGCAAGATCTTCCATAATAACATGAAAAATCAAGTAGTAAAATCAAATTCAGAGAAGACCTTGCAAGACCAGGAGCTGGAAGATTATTTAGTGAAAAATCTAAAACTCTTAAGGGCCAAATGAAGTCATAACTACATCTGTAAGTAGCTATGTGTCAAAGATGGTTCTGTTTTGTGCCTTCTTAACTCTGCTAAGAGCTGTACAGAATTAACAGTTAAAGGTGAAACCTGAGTAATGCTGGAACCAGGATTATTAGTATTTAAGTTAATTTCTCCAGCAGTTACTTAACCTGGTGTAGCTACTATAAATTTAATTATTCATTGAGATTAAAATTTATTAATCTGCTTATCTAATGTTTAACTTAAGTCAGAGTTTTTAATCTCAGTTGTACAGTTTTTGATCAGCATGTCAGTAATGTTTGGTGTTCAGGAAGAACTTTTTTGAATAGAGGACCCATCCAAGGATTTGTTGCACATGTCAGATTCCCTCCCACTGGGTTTTGATGACCTCAGTCTGTATAGCTGTGTCTGTCCTGGTCATCTGTGCCTCTTATCAAAACATTGCAGTTTATTTAAAAGCACTACTGAGAGTCAAGTTGCTTCTCAATTCCAAAAGCAAAGGTAGTATGAGTGGGTTTTTTTTGTGCAGAAATTCAGTCATAAAATTTGGAGGCTTTATCTATAATGATGGTAAGGGTTAATATTTTATCCTTGTTTCTTTTAATGTAATTTATTTCATAACTTCCATCTCTGTTAGATAGAGAAGGGGTTGGTATGTGGCCTTTTACTTTCTTTCACCTTGAAACCTTTTATTTAAATGTTACAGGATTGGTGTTGATTTTTTGATGTATTTCCTATAGGCAACAAGT